GTTATACAAATGAGTTTATGCGAATCTCTGACGGCTTATCAGGCACTGCAGCTGTTCCACAAAGCATGGTACATGCTGGTACCTCATTTACTTTTGCATCTTCTGGAGGTCGAGGCCGAAGATTTCCATTATTATTATTATTTAACTACAATTTTTTAGTGAGTCTATTCTACTGCGATAAAATTTTTGAAGGAAAGATAAGACAACAAACAAAATATCCAGTGGATCCCGAAGTGGATGGTGTAAGAAAAAGTGTATAAAGTGCAAATGAAAGAATTGCTTCGAAATCGAGAAAATACATTTCCTTTAAGCAAGTAAGCAGCAAAGACTATTCGTATTAACCTATCTGTCAATTGTGAAATGAATAAACTTAGCAATGTGATGGATATTTCATTTACGATTAGAACAGTTATTCAGACCAAAACGTGACAAAACTGTTGCTCATATTCCATATTAATTCTTCAACTACGATACATTATTCTGCTGCATTGTTATGGATTCCAGTTGTATATGAACTAAGGAAACTCATAAAACAGCTCAGTATTAAAAAATATCTTGGCCTGAATTAAAATTATGCTGAAGGACGGAAAACACGCAGCAAACTACTCAGTCAGCTGCAAAATAAATCACTTCATAAATTACCCGAAACCCTCGAAATGCATCTCGAACTTCACGTAAGCGACTGCGAAGAGAAAAAGGATGCTGTGCGGCGGATCCAAGTTCTCCACCGAAATCAAAATCGCTTTTAAACGGAAACTCAAACATCTGAAACAAATAAAAATAATAGATAAAGAATGTCCGAGTATTATTTCACTATGTGCTGCAGATAATATATAGATAATAAATAATAAATATTAAATCCTTCAGTTATCCCACAACTACGTACGCTCATTACTCCTTCCGAAACAAGCAAGCAAAATGCTTTTTTTCTCGGATACCATTAAATAATGCACATCACTGGCACCAAGAGGGAAAGATGACGGTATAATAAAAATTTGTGCAGCAGTCACAGAATTTTATTCATTAAGCATGTTTGCCTCTGTTCCTTTATTTAGTGCTTGATTCATTATAGCCAAGACAGTTTGAGCGCTTGATGTCGATGAATTCTGATGAACGCTACGCGAAGTTATTCCAGACCACACTGTTCTGGATAGGTTTACACAAAAACCTTTACTATTTACCCACCTTCACTACTACACACCTACCACTTTTCAGTTGATTAGTCATTTCTAGTCTATCGGATACAGTTCAACGATTTGCAACATTCTGTTATTGTGAGTGAATCCACTACAGATTACACATCACTTCAATCGAACTGGGGTGATGATGTCACTGACCGCATTCATTTTGCGAACATTTAGCTCTATTAGAACGATGCAAATGTTAGATAATTTTTCGGACGCACTTCAGCAGTGATTGTCTGACGCATATTGCTTCATACTTACAGATTCAGTTGATAACAAAAAGTTCTGTGGGATTGGAAACTCTCAGTAAGCAGTGAGGGAAACTTGCCTAACATTATTCTTCCAAGTATTTACAGGTTTTTAACAAAAATTCCTATCTTTCAAATTGATGAATTCTCATTAGCACTATCTACTCATTTTTCATTTCCCATTTATAACTATAGAGAAACAATAGATATTGTATAAGATAATAACGATGACAGTTCTGAAATATTTTAGGATAAAAGCATTGATGCAACACAGGTACTGAAGGAAGATATAACAAACAGTGACAAGTCATTATTTCAGTGATCATAAGGAGTGGGAGAGAATGAAAAAGGTAACATGAAAGTGAACATAATTTAATTTGTTAAAAAGGTAAAAAGAAAGTACGTAGAGGATGAATGATTACCAAAAAACCAAATAAATAACTTTCTTCCAGTGAATCTTTTATTCTCACCCTCACAAAATTTCATCATAGGACAGTTCGTTTCATCACCGACTGATTGACAGTTTTGCAGGTGTGACCTCGTAACACCAACTATTTCTTCATTTAAGTAATTTTAGTTAATTAGTAAATGGTTTGGCTGAAACAAAACTATCAATAGAAATGGTACGTTACATAAGCTGATGGAGCACCAAATTTACATTTTGCCAATTCATCAGGAATGTTTAACCAGAAAGAAATATAATAACTAGAAAATATGAATATATAACATTTGTACTGCAGGGAGAGGCACGCGTTTCTACAGCAGCTGGCCTACGAAAAAACAAATTGATGGAGGAAAAGCAGCTGTTGGACTAGACGATTCCTTCTCCGCTGATTTTAAGAAATGGTTTTTACTTTATGGGTTAGACATGTAAAAAGGGTAAAAGACATTTCACAGGGAATTTTGCATTGAATACGAGTTGTAAGGATAGAAAAATCACAAGAAACACTGGTTACCCCATCATAAACTATCAAATAGTGAAAGAGATGAGGAATAATGCATACAGGCGGCGGCGACACATGCTGCCTTGAATAAGAACATAGTTACGTGAAGATACATTCTCCTCTTATACCACACGGTACCATTGCTCAAGTATCCATCATTTGATGGATCATCAATTTTGATGTAATAAATATTGAATAGAAGCTGGAATATGTATTTGAAATCATCCCGTAGCGAGACAGACAGGAAAAGCGAAACTTGTTAAGCGGGTAATCGAAAAAAGTTCACATTATGGAAATACATCAATCCCGATGGATAAAATAAAGAAAACTGGAACCTTAAGATAGTGCCTGATGAACAATATTGCAAAGAATGTAAAAAGTAGAATGTAGAATTAGTGATACAGCACGAACAGATAGATAAGTGGGAAGAAGAGGTTTCTCATATCGCCTGATATGATAGGCAACCATACGTTATCAGTTAGGGACGATGAATGAACAGTTAGAGACTTAATGACGTATCTCTGTTCTCTTATCGAGATTTGATGCAACAAATTACGCAAGTTTGCAGGAAAATTATGGGAATTTTCGTCGACACAAATACGTCAATTTCCGCGTTGCGTTATTACTAGTACGGATGCATCTACTGATGAGATTACAAATGTTTATGGCAAGGAAAAGCTAAAAGGATGGTACGGGAAACCGGAACAAGAGATGGACAGAATGCAAGGTATAGGAACTCATCAGGTTGTGAGAGAAAATCTGCTGCTGGAGAATCGGGACGTTAAATCAAGATTTTCAACAGTAGTACATTATTTGACAAAGAAACTGAATAAGCGCCGTCAATGTAAACTCCGCTGGTATGGTTGCTTGGAGAAAAGATCTAGTAGTGAAGGAAACAGTTATTCTGAGTCACAGGAGTGATCTGCTCGACTCAAAAGTTCAATTTCAAGTTGGAATCAAGCGTTCAAGTTGGCTGAATTATTAACACTTCCATTGCCAATCGATCTTCTACCATTATATAAGTATAACACAACCCAGTGGAGTCAGCATTTCCTTGAACTATTGTATAATTCTGCAAAGGGAATACAGGGAATAAAGAAGCAGCCAGCAAAGTGATTCAGGCAGGCATGTCATTTGTCGCGCTTTATTGCTTCAAATTTTAGCAGCAACACTTCTGCAAACTTCCACTTTTTGTATTTTAGAAAAAAAGATCATCATGATGAATCAGATATCTTTTTATTTAGAAATAATGATAATGGTAATGGTAATGGTAATGGTAATGGTATAACGGTAAAATAATGGTAAATTTATTTGGCAAATAATGGTAAATTACTAAACAGATGAAATCCTAGCAAAATCCTCAGAAGTAATAGCAATACACAGTAGCATTACGTATAACGTCGTAGGCTTAAGTGGTAATTCATCCCAGTATTGTATACAAGTGCGTGCACCTTCAGACAACCTCTGTGTAAAAATTTGTTTAATTTTCATAAACTGAAATAATTTATATGAAAAGGTTTCATCATACAACATAAATAAGGTGCAATTCAGATTGCATTCGGACAAAGTATAACAAGGAGTTGATGACGAAAGTGCCGGAATGAGGGAATTCGAATAAAGAGGGATATGGACGGAAAGAAGCCGTGAAAACACAACAAACAGGCAAATGTTTATATGCATTCAACAACAGAATGACTAAAATTTAAATTGAATAACGCAGTATCTCACAGTGATCCAGATTTAGATGAAAAGAAATGTTGAGGTTTTTTAAAAAATGAGCACAGGTAATTTACCTGCTAGTGAGAAGCTGGGCGACTGATAGGGCCAAGACTGGAATAATTATGGTGTAAGACGACAAAACATCGGAAAGTTCAGTACCAAAAGTGATGCTTAAACCATATGTCTGAAAGTTACGAATTTGTTTGTGCTTTAAAGAGGTCCCTTACCGACTTGTGTGGTGCAGCTAGCAATAAAAACCTTCTCGTCACACAAGCAGCAACAAAGGTCGTTATCATACCCACAGAACAGTTCATTTTCAACCTGGATAGACATGAAAAGCACGCGATCGTAGAAATCCAATTTCCGTCTCGACGAACTAAAGCCTTTTTTAACCAACGAAACGCAAATTTAGTTTTTTAGACCTTCACAAACACCACCACCCAAGTTCCAAAAATATTAAAAAATCTTTGATAAATCTTGATGACCTGATTGGCATAGTCCTCACTTCGATGGTGAGTGATATTCCAAAAATGTCTCGACACAGTGAAATTAGTCTACCGGTACTGAAGTGGACAGACACTCCACCGTAGTTTGAAAAATCTAACTTTATTCAAAAAGGGTAATGAAGAAGACATCGTCTATCTCTTTGAAAAAACACAAAGGCCCACCAACCTGAAGGGTGAGATAAAGACGGAATTTCGTAGTGTACAGTCCTTCAGATGTTTTCCATTTATTAAGTGCAAGTACTAACATCACTGCATTTTCAGTGTACCCACCGGTAGCATTTCAATTCTAATACAGAAATTTTCCACAGAAACAAAATAATGATATGTATTTAGCAATGAAAACTTCGTACAAATGCAAGAGTTATTTATAGGAAATATAAGAATTTGAATCAAATGGTAGGATTATCACCGTGCACATATCAATGCAGATGGGTTGAAGAAGCAGAACTCATCATAACATCTCTATTATCTTTTATAAGTTTCATTGCAATAATTCAATAAAATATTCCTTGCACAAGATATCGCCATAGAACAGGATAAAAGTGTTAACTACTGGACAGTAGCAGGCAGTTAGACAACATACGCTTGAAAGACCCGTCCTGCCTTTAGCAGTATTTCATTCAATACGAATTCGCCGATTGCCAGAATTGACAATTAACCGCTCTGTCATTTCTTTCTAAAACATTCGTTTATACCGCATGTGCAAAAATCACAGGAAACGCTGACATAACTTGACCCGGACATTTCTAATTTGTTCTCTGATAATGTATAAAAAGAAAAACTTGCCAGCGCATCCAACTCACGTGATGAAACCATCTGATGTTCAGTGATAAAATAATAGAAATGTTTATATAAGGTATTTGCGTGAGGTTCCTAAAAAAAGAATTGCTCAAATGACCTGGAATAATACTATTTTCCAACCACTACCAAACGTTTATATTATAAATTACTTTTAGTCAACGCTGAAAAGGAACTTACAGCTCCCAGTTGCGATAATCGATCAAAATGATGTATATAAATATGGACAAAGACTCGGAATAATCTTGTTAATATCTTTTTACACGTCTGCCGAAAGTCTCGTGGGAACGGGACCTCTGTAAAATACGAATCATTTGAATTATAGTTATCACGCAAAATTAAGATGGTGTTAGTTGAACCCGAATTGAATATATCCACTCAAATTCTGCAATCTTTTGACCAAATCGATGCTTCTTGTCAATAAAAACTATTACCCGTATTAGAAGGGAAGATTGCTTCATTATTTATCCGTATCTCAATCCAATCCATTAAAAGAAATATGTATTCTGGCGCAGGTAATCTTGTTGGCTTTTTATAACTGACCCCATCCTGCCAAAGATATTCATATCTGAAAAAAATCATTTCATTTCTCAGGGGAGAGAAAATATAATGCGAATCCTACTTAATTCTGTTTCCATTCTTCATGCCACAACATCAACTCTCAAAATCCAACTTCAAAATTTTCTTCTATAAGAGCAGAAATTAATTTACCGAGGTCCACCACTCATTGTGGGGCAAGATTTCGCTGTACAAACATCTGATATTATTCCATATAGAAGATTTATTCGATTGAAAAAGTCCACCGCTGCAACTCATACATCAATTATAGTAGACTGTGACTATAACGTTCAATAATTATAAACGGGCAAACTTACTGTGAACAGCCAACCAGTCTTCAAAGTTTTCATTAGGTGGTAATCGAACAGCTGCTTTCAAATCTAAACCCGAATGTAGCGTAGCTTGAGCCTGCTTATGTAGATTATATCGTAATGTTCCAACTGGGAATTTTTTTTTCGGCCGAAATGTCTGCAAATTTACCGAAAAATGGTGAGTTCCAAGAACCATGAACATACCGGATCTATGGTCGTCCAAGTTGACACGCTATTCATTTTTCAGTATAATTCAAGAACTATTCAATCAATACTCTAACAAAAGCTTATTTCTTCTGTGGTCTTTGCCCTTGCTTTCCTGAGAAACGTACCCAATCCTCAACATTGAACAAAAAAATAAATACAATTGCTCCAGGAATACATCGCAAAAGCAACTTCACATGAGCGTACTTCATGAAAATCTTTGAATAAACTAACCTTATCCTTGTTCATCTGCAAAAAATCCAGGAAACTCGTCATTGTGGATAACTATCACGAAATCGTGTTGCTACCTGTTTTGTTACCAAGTCCAGTAATAATTCATGAATTTAATCTATAAAAAAATTATGTAAAAGTGTGAATATATTCTTCCAGAATGATTCACTTTCGGACTTTTTTCAACGCTGATAATTGACAAAATAAAACTTTTGCAGTAGAAAGTTTCACGATACCGTGATATATATACACAACATATGTCGTACGTGCCTATACAAGCATTCCTCCAAAAGATTCACTATTTAAATTTGAGCTGTTCAGCCAAGTTTTCGAGAATGAACTTCAGTTAAAGCACCTAATTCTTCAAGCAGTTCCTCTTTGTTTCATCTCAATAGTAATTAATTCAAAAGCTTTAAAAAAAGGAATACTTCTTCTAAGGAGATTTCCCAAATATCCAGATACTCAGTAAGTAATGTAATACGCAATGAGTTTAAAAAGATGGAATACTTCTTTTAAGGAGACTTCCAAAATATCCAGATACCTAGTAAGTAGCGCAATAAGTACATTACCATCCACATATATCCTGTTAAACACGTTTTAGTTCCAGGAAATGCTTGGCTCGACCTATTTATCAACATCATGATACACCTCAATGTCCAACATTTTCAATTCTCTGCAATCACAATGACACGAATTCAGACAGCAAAGCAAATTATTCATCGGCGTCGCGTTTTGGTTCCGTCCCATGCGAATGCAAATAAATATCCGAACATATGTAAATGCAGCTGATCATCATGATACTTCTTCATTCATGTTCCAACTATCCTCTTTGCCCTCCTATTTCTTTATTTCATCCACCGAATTATCTTCCTGTTTACTCATATTAAAATGAAACTGATTCACATCGACCTTCTCTAACCTCTGCAGTTCCCCATCAAAAAAAAAACTCCCACCCTCTTAACTCCACTGCCACCCACCACGCCCACTAACCCTGCAATTGACGATCGGACCTCATCTTAATGAGAAGCGCAATGCAATTCGTGGTCCACTCGTTTTATTCCTTCTTGATGGGCAGGCTGGGAATAGTTACCAGACCCCGGGACACACTTCATAGACATGGAGATATGTTTCTCGGATCTTCGGGATGCGTCACCCATACTTTGCTTTAAATCCTCAAAATGATCCATTGTTCATTTGATTAAATAGAAAATGTATGATTCGATGCATTCGCTCATCTGGCCAACATCATCGTTAGTGGAGAAGGCATGCCTATTGGATATAAGCAATTCAATCGTTTTTCGACTTCTTTACGCCACGGCTATGTCAAAAGAAATGCATTTGCAAACAGCCCTGACCGCCCTTACTCTTCCTATCGACCAGTTGATTTTGTCTTGTTTTGCTTTGTATTGAATAATCCGTAATTCATTCGAAAAAACTGAGTTGTATTAGTTTATTATACTAAAAGAAAACCAATCATTACAAGAAATATGATTAGGCAATGAAATGCAAAGCCATTAATGCAACATTAACTGGAGGAAACAACAATCACCTGCTTATCAAGGGCAGAGTTTTAAGACTTTTCAGTGAAACTAGTCATATGGAACTGCCTGAAAGCAAAACATCCATTTCAAAAATGTCTTAACTAGATATGCTAATTAAAGCGCAAGACTCCTGAACGATATTAGTCGAGATGAAATTGATTTAGTGCACCCATAAGTGCAACACCAACCAAAAAACATATCCACTGCAAAATATTTTGCCTGAAAATGCGCCAAACGATTGTTTGATTGAATAATAGAGGATTCTACAGCGATTAACGAATGTTCAATGAACTCGTTGAATAAAACTGTATTTTTTTTCTTTTGGAATCCAAAATGGATATTATGCTAACATCCATACCTAACGGAAACTATCATCTGATTTAAAAACAGTTCGATTATTTCTTTGGCAGATAGTAATAGATTGATACCTTGAATTGGTTTCCTTCATTAGTTCGGGTAGGATTTGGGTAAGGGCAATATTGATAAAACCACCGGCCGTAAATGGCAGAATATTCTGAGATGCTCCACTTGTAGCACATTCGCTATGCAAAAATAAAGCTGCCCATGCTCCCACAGCACCACCAATTGCGGTTAACAACTGTAACTAGTAGGAGCAGTCATAATTTTGGAATCCACTAACTGTCCGATTTTTTTCAAGTCTTCAACATATGTCACCTTTTTAAAGAATTTTAAATTTCTTAAAGATATATCTTAAAAATGCCCAAAAAATGACTAACCTGAGCTTGTACAGCAGACCATCTGTTAAAATCAGCACGAAGTAAGATGGCAAAATCGCTAATTTCATGGGGCAACTCATGGATAACTATTGAGAATGTTGTTAACAATCCAAGCTGCAAACAATCATTTTCAATTTTACAAATCAATTAGTCAAAGATATAACAGGTTTGGGAACAAAATTTATTTAACACAAGCAAGCCTAAACTGATTAGAGTTTATGAACTCCTCCTATATAAGAGTAATTCGATAATTATACTGATTAATTAACATAAAAAACCAAAGAACAGCAACAATAATATGCAGGAAATTTTAGTATAACATTCCCCGCGTTTACACGATTGAATGAAACTCTCAAGTTTTGTGTATTTTCGCCACTTGTATCAAATGAATTTCTTTTGTGCAATTCATTTAAATGGAATTTCTTACAGAATTAGTGAAAGAAAAAAGTTATGAAACGAAGGTAACCTTTGTATCTATTAGAAATGAACCGCCGACAGCTAATCCATGAGTGAAATTATCCATAAAATTAGCGATAAGATTTAATATAGCACACATCTGCAGCAATTTAAAAGATAAATTATTTTAATTTTGAAATAATCTAGATTTTTACACAAAAACCATCTTATTCAGCTGATGTTGACTTTTAGAGACAAAAACTAAAAACAATACTTCTTTGAGACAATCAGTAAGGAGTTATGTTATGACTTCATGAACTAATCATTCGAAAATCATGGCATCATTCATTATTATCCTTCATTGATAAAATAATATTTCTCTTAAATGAACTTTCTAATCTAAATTTTTAGAATTTTTAAAAAACTATTTGCCAGATTAAATGCTGCCGAAGATATACTTAGTTAAACAACTTACTCTACGTTGATTAAATTCACTTGTTAAACAAAGCTTCTCCAGTATGAAGCAAAACAAAACACCTGCTGTTGTCCATACACCTGCTGTCAATCTATCCACTGTAATACAAAAATCAACCTAATAATAATAATAATATTGTTACTTGCATCATTGCCGTAGTGAAAAAAAATGAATAACCTTGAGTATCTTCCCAAACAGTTGGAAGTAGATGGAGAAAGACATCACCAATTAGACTTCCAACAGCGAAGCTCAACAGCAGATGCAAGCTTCGGCGACCATCTGAAATATGCACCTATTAGGGCCAACAAAACGTAAAACAGAAATCTTGCAAGGATAACATTCACAAATGTTTACTAAATTTCGCCTTGATTCAAATCTTTTTTCAGTTTGTATGAATCAGTCAGTAATTTAGAAAACACTCATTTTTCTTCGATATGAGAGCAATTTCAAAAATTTCATTTTCTAGAGGAAATTTGCTTCCATTTTCAACACCCTCAAAAATGGAAAACATATTTCATGCCCAAGAGAAACTTACAGTTTGACTGTAGAAACTCAGTGAAATCATTTGGTAAAAGAAACGCGGGGAAAACGCCGCATGCAACGATGAAAATGCAACCAAGCGATGTCCATAGGTAAGTTTTCCATGAAGCCAATTCTTTACAATCTTTTTTGGTTATTTCTTGCAAAAATTTTCTTTCTTCTTGCAGCTTTTCCGCGTATCTATAAATTAATTAGAAGAAGTAAATCATATAAAAGTACTGAAAATGAAGATTTTTGTCTTGCGTAAGTATGGACTACCGTTCTAGAACCATATTGCTAGGATGAATTTAAGCTGTGAAGATTTTAATTTACATTGGCACTAGCATCAATATCAAATAGATGAGAAGGATGCTGAAACTGTGCAATCTCACATAAAATTAGTCGCTAGCTAATAAAGCCCTATAGCAGTTTCACTAGTGATGTAGTACTGCCGTTTTTGAAGTTGAAAACTATTACTTTTGTCCAAACCGTTTAGAAAAAGCAACGATACGCCCATCCGGGTCAATTAATGTGTCGGGTGGTATGTCACGGATGTTTAGACTTTCACCACTTTTTTTAAGAGTGGTAAGAAGCATTCTCGGCAATACATCATTACCACCAAAGTCAGGTGCCGGGAGCTGATCCAGCTCTGAAAGATGAATGCTACGAGAGATTTTGTGAATCAATCAATTAAGCTAATTTATTTGGTGAAATTTTTATTGGAGAATGCATTGGTATTGTAAATTACTTACAACAACTGCTCTTTAGCAAACACCATAGCCATCATTTCTGTTTAAAGTATACCGCCTCCAGCAGCAGAAAATGTTTAGCATACCTAGGGAATAAAAAATCTACTAATAAACATCAGTTTTTAAATCTAAAATTTTATCTGATGATTGTATCCGATAATATATATATAATCTTGAATTATAATCTTCACGCCATGAAAAAAAATCGCAAAAGGAAGAAATGGATTACGCTGCACGAGAAATGCTTGCTGAGCACTACTGGTGGAGCACAGCAATACAGCAGTGAATAAAAATAGTTGTAGAATTGATTGATTTGCCATACCCATCAGATCTGAAGATTTAAATTTTATTTAATTTCTTATTCTGTCGCATGCAAATATCCATTTTTCTATTATGTAACTCAAAGAGCTCTATACACCGTGTTACACAATCATCTTAATAACAGGCGCTTTTGTGCGACTAGTTTTTGGACCAAATGCATCTAGCAAAATAACAACACTGCGATGGTATTCAAAATGAAAAGTTACAAGGAAAGAATAATGTGGACGCGAAGAAAATGAGGCTTTCACTGACTTCCAGAATTTCCCTGTCCACTGGCTAACTCAAAAAATAACTCAAAAAAACCCTATGTCTGGAACATTTCTTCCAAAAAAATTGTAATAGCTTTTGCATGTATCGGAAAGCTCGGTGAATTACACAAAGCAAAAGCCTGAAAACTGAACGGCGGAAGAAACGGAACGTGGAATGATAGGAAAAGAGGATCGATGAGTTACGCGAGTTGGGAATAAGGATTACTAGGATTAGTAGGAGAGGTGAATAAAGGGTTGCTTGAAGGTGATCGAAGAGTGTACCAGTGCAAAAGAAGGAAAAGGATAAGTAGAAAGATTAGGTCATTTAGAATGTTTGTGAAGAGCAGTACTAGAAGCAAATGTTTTTACAGGACAGGAAACTGATTCCATTCCAGATTGCAAACAGGTTATTTGAAGGAAGTGAAACAGAGTACTTCTATCAGCACGTCGCCGTATCTTCACTTCACTTCAACTTGGATCTGTACCAATCTTGCTTTCTTTTTCCCTCTCTCTCTCTCTCTCTCTCCAACAATGCATCCATTCCAGTTCACACATTGCATTCATTTCGAATTCGTGAATTTATTTATAGGTAGACGTTATCGGGAATCGAAATAACTTTAAAATATAAAAATGTTTAAATAATCAATGTATCTTTATATTCTTGTTGTTTATGTTACAGAAAACGTATTTTTCAGTAAATGATAGGACGTTCCGTGTATTTTTTTGATGCATGATTTTAACAGATACTGCTAATGATTTATATCCAATGACCTCGTGTTTGCCATTAATTTCATCTTTCAAATGACCAGGCGATTCTTTGTTTACTATCAGTTTCTTGTATCGAATGACCCTATAACCTTTTTTTATACCGTTGGTTTCGTCTACAAAATGCAAATTGGGTCTTGCTATCAGCACTTCTCTGAACCAATACCTCAACGAAGAGTCCCAAACTATTCTGCCGGATTAAAAGTAAAGATTAGCCAAATGATTGACTCAACTGATTATATCTTCTGATAATTGCATTTATAACGTCAAGAAGAATAACCTTTTCATTAAATTATTAAGTAAAAGCTTTCACTAATATTGGACTGTGTCAAACCAAAGCTCTTCCAAACAAAATAAAGTCACAACAGACGTAGATGCACTCGGTTTCAGTACGCAATAAAATGCATTCGCGGGATCTTCTCAGGCTAGCACTTCGTATCCTTACTGTATACGCTTTTAAATTCATGTCACGTGAATATCATCTCCAAGGGACACCGGGCTAAGATGTATGCTAGCATGCTGAAACAGACCAGACTATAGTAGGTTGACGGGCTTTGTCATACCGGTATGGGTTTACCTGCCTTTTCTGATGTAACCAGCTTACTATAAGAGTACTTTTCAAACACGCCGAAAACAGGAGTTCTCAGAAATGGAACGAAAGCAAGAGGTTTCATTACGATAAAATCGTCATGTCTCAAATAGGACGAAAACGATAGAGGAAAAAACAGTGGAAGACATGTTTCAATATCGAGGCCTCAAAGGTTACAAATCGCGGGTTCGTATCATTATGGTGGGAACGCTACCGATGCAAGTGCCTTTGGTGTAGTACAATGAGTCTCCCTGTAAATAACGAAAACAGCGAGTAACACTGTAATAGCAATGACAATGCAATAATCTCTCCAGTTGTTTGTTCTTTCGTCTTCTTTTCATGTCGCGATCTTTTCTTCACAAAATGATAATTGAGAACGGAAATCTTTTTCAGGCCTGGCAAAAATACTTTCCAAACGATGAATTTTTTTCTTAGTATTAGGTCTCCTCATTGACATACTAAATAACCTATCCGACAAATAATTTAGCAAAATTTTTGTTGGTAGGAAACTTTCAATTTTCCGATACAGTAGAAAAAATAGCCATATTGAATATTGAATATCCTTGAATCTTTAAAGATTCCGATATCAATATATGATAGCCCATATTAAAAAAATTTTGCTTTGAAACATTTTTCGTAAAATATTAATCGATTGACTATTTAAAACTATTCAAACCAAGCTCACTCACAATACTTGAAAATAGAAATAATATTTACAAGTGGTTCGACGAGAAGCTCGACACAGACAGAGGGTATATGGTTCACTATAAACAGGAATTATTTGAACTTACCTGGAACATGTAGTACAGTTGAGGAGTGGAGTGAAAAAGTTGTGAGAAGTTACACCACTCAACCCTGCAAATTTTCAGGAGATCGTCAAGGACTCACAAACTTTCCAAATTCATCTAAAATTACGTTTTGGGATTCCGGTTCCTTATTCTAGCAATTTCCAATATTAACAAATTCTTCTAATGGAAATTATAGTATTACTGATTCAACAAGGTTTTTTTTTCAGATTCATCCTCATCCAGCTGAATAATACGGAATGAGTTAAACGCAGCATTGAAGAATTGATTTATTTTTATTTCGCTCATTCCTTTTCTCAGCTTTCTATTAATTGGAGATAGCGAATATCTGGTGGTATGTATTGCCAGCTTTGTTGAAAGTAACCTAGGATAACAAACTCTCTACCGTGTACCGAATACCGAATATGAAGAAAGAATAAGTGAAGTGAAATGATGCAGCTGATCAGTAATTGATGTACAGGAAGGATGTGAAGTGGAGTAGTGCAGTGGGACGGTGTTGAATGGAATATAAAAGAAAGGAAGGATCGGATGAAGGGATAGCAGCAAAGATGAAGAGAGACGATAAGCTGACTTGATAGGATGATGATAGGTATGTAAGGTACGAAGAGAAGTATTGGGAAGGAGAATATGAAATGTTGTAATGTGAAGTTTAAGATAGAGAGGTGCATAGAACAGGTGTCGTTTCCGCTGAAGAGTCATAGAAGAGGTAAAAGGAAGAAAAACATGGAGAAATACGGGTGCACAACACCTCATTACTTCTGTTTAAAATAATAGGTAGAAACTCGAAATTCCGGTATATCATTCAAATCAATTGAGCCAGCATTGTGTATGTGTACACGTACTCTGACAACGGCAGCAATAGGTGACAGTTGATAAAGTGGTTCGATCAGTTTTGCTGTTCATAGTCAACTGTAGCAAAATTTTCCCTCCTACTTTTTTCAGCGAAATTCAGAACCAACAATTTTCGATGACCAGATTCCTGATATATTAATCTACAACGTGCTGCGCACACTAAAGATTGGAAAAGGTAATAGCTAACCATTCATAAAGAATAAGCGATTAGCAGCACATAAACATCACCGCATGTTGCAAGATTATTGGAACCATTCTTACAACAAAAACAAAAAGAGAAACATCAAGCTCCACCTAAAAAAATCAAAACAAAAACTGGAGAGGAGAGCTGCCGTAACGATTAACAACATCCTCCACTTTTTTTGCATCATCTTCGCCCTACACGACAAATATGCAACAGTAAAAGATCAGATGGAATAATGTATATACGGACCTCCAATAAAGCGAACACTAGGAAAGGATATCAATCTATTAATCCACACTTCCCTTTCAGTGCAGTATATCTTCTTGTACCCACCCACCTCTCTCCTGTCCCCGCTTTGTAGCGCACTAACATACAAATAACTGAACTTGTCGAGGTCATCCTGTACACCAACCAAATCTTGGCGTCTTCAAAGATAGAAGCGGTGAATACGTTATCTCTGAGTCCAACAAGGAATTTTGGCATTTCTACAGTTTCCATTAGATCCCTACACTTTCCATTATATCCATCGCGAAATTTCGATTGGGTCTCGTTAATCGGGTCACCTCACCATGTTTTCAAACTGTTGTCACCTGATTTCAATATATGAGATTTTAGGAACGATGAGACTTTTTGCAAGTTTTGAACATTTCACCTAACTACTGAGATATCGAGGTTTCTCTCTCACCTTCTCTATATTCTTGTCGTTGAACGTGTTATGATCTCTCTCGTTCAATTTTTCCGGTGGAATGCTATCAGCTCAACAGTTCTAACAAAACTTTTATTTACAATACTTTACAAGTGAACGAACAATGGTTTTGTGTGAGAGTAAGGTGCAGATGAATTATAAAAATGTGCACTTGCTTATAGCAACAAAAACTATCCTAAATCGCCGCAAACAAAAACAGGTGAGTGAGCAAATAATGATAATACACTGATCGTTACTATCACAGAACGACTGAACGCGCAACCAACATTACCAGTGCACTGAGGATACCTGCAACGGATCATCCTAGTCCTAATAAGAAAAACCTTTTTCGATATTCTTAGAAAGGATATTAACCAGCGGCAGCATTGAAGTATATTGTTATCCAGCTGACACTGCGCACCTCTCTCGGCAGATGCCCGTCCATAAGTGACATACATTATGCCACAACCAGGAGTTGTAGTGCATTTAATATTTGTACCTAACTGTTTCTGCAATTTTATTCAAAATTATAACTATTTTGTGAAACTTGTAAGAAGGTGTAATTAATCTGAGGAAGAAAATAGACATAAAAAGAAAAAAGACTGCTACCAGTTACAGGTAAAGTAACAAGCCAGGACAATGATATATTCCGGAAAGTAGACCATTTTACAGAGCCGCTTGCCTGTACCACACCTACTGCTACCACACTGCCAACCTGAACATTACATTACGGGAATTTATTAAAATGGTTAGTGTGCTTCACATCATAAAAAGTTACAATCAAAAGCTTTGAGTGACTTAAACGATATTGTTGTCAGTAACAAAAGATCGCATCACAGCAGTATATTACCCTATTTCACGAAACGAATTTGGGAGTTTCGAAGGATAGTTACGACGAAAAAAATAACGAAACCTTGCATTGTGTGGAGCTTACTGGAAGACCAAACTTGCTTGAAGCTAATACTGTTGCAGCAGCACCAAATTCGATTGCAAAGCCACTGAAATTAAAATTTCAATCCGAGATTTTAAAAGAATGAAGTTGAAACAATGAAATATTTGTAATTCATAAAGAATATAAAAACTGGGGATTCAGTGCTATCAATAAAAGAATCCTTTCATCCTACCTTGGTGGCGTGATTTTGGTGAGGTTCTCACCAACTGTGTAGATAACCCGATGTCCCAATACCCAAAGACCCATACACATGCCACAAGCACCGTAAAGCAGAAGCCAAACAGGTGTTGTGGATCGTTGCATCACCGACTTCTCCTTGTAAATGGAATACAGTGACACGAGCGGGGCAATTGCGTTGCTAAATATTAAATTTCCTAAATGAAACCATAACAACAGGAAGTTCGCACCTTCGACCTTCTACACATGGAATTGCTAAATTTTCGATTTTACGACTCCGAAGTTGCAATCAAATTCTCAGCGAAAACTTCACAAATAACAAACAAAATTTTAAAGAGGACCCAAACTTTATCAATATAGCTATGTAACATCTCCCTTTCAGTTAAACATATCAAAAACCCGTTGAAAATTCTAAAGAAATAGTTAACTGTCGCGATGGATTTCTTCGAATTTTAGAATATAAAAATCTTTGAAAAGTCATACCTCACATCGTTGCCACCATGCGCGAAACCGGCGAAACAAGCTGTAAGCACTTGAAGGAAACTGAACAACTGAGATGCTTGCGGATCTTCCGGTTTGGAGGAACGAAAGAAGGTTCCGATACTTCTCGTTGGTTGTACCGTATTCGCACCCAAACCGTGATGTCCATCGATATTACTTGTTTGCAAATTGCTGGATACCACGCTCCTTTCTTCCTCTATCATAGTCAAATCAGTATTGTTACCATTGTTGTTGAGCAAATCAACAGATATTTCAGCTAGTTGTTGTTCTCCGCTGTTAGTTGGTCCCAGTGTCAAGTGTTTTCCGTCTTCATAGTGCAACAGGGAACATGCACCTGAAACAGCACGAACTAAACAAATATGTTAAAATAAAACCTGATAAAAATAAAAATTAATCCTTTTTTTACATACACATTGCCTTCTTTAGTTTCTCTACTTCACCACCTGCTTTTTATTCGTCGTTAGACCAAATCGCCCATTTATTTGGGGCTTAATTTAGGAATAGCATAAAGTCGTATCCATATAATATCGTCAAATATTCGATTTCTCCATTGCCAGTAAACGTTTCTTTTGAAAAAGCATTTTCAGGAATTGACCCAAGTAAGTGATAATCTCGAATTCAAGAATCAAATGGATGCAGATTAAGCTTTCATGCAACTCTTGTTAACAACAAAATACTTCAAGAAATCTCAAAAAATAAAATTAATAAATCGGTTAGCATAAACATAGAATCCACGTTTCCGCTTTACTACCGATCATTGCTTTTGCAAAATTTAATATTTACTACACGTTGTAAAAAATCTTATATGAAATCTGTGCATCATTTCAATTTCCATATAAAATCTAAAAAAATCCTAATCCACAGCGCCAAATGCATTTCTTAGTAACAAAATAAACAAAGGAACAAAAAAACGAGAACTTTCTTAGCAATTAAAAATAAACAAAAGAAAAAAAAAACTAGAAACTAATATTATATTTCCAAAGAATACTCTTGCAAAGTAAAATGGAAATAGAATCAGATATTATTGCACTACAATTTAAGGCTTTTTTTGTGCCTTTCAAATTTCTACATATTAGCTGGCCAACTGCATAAAATAATGCGTACTACAGTACAGGAAAGCACTGATACGACAGTATAACTAAGATTTTACCAGTTGGATAATCTAAATTTCGTCACGTAATCAGCAGCAATGTTATTAAATAACACCAATTCATTTTTAGAATTAAAATTCATCTTTTTCGAATGTTGAAATGACTTATCTATGGATTCTGAAATTTGGTACCATCGTATCTGTAGGTAAATCAGTCGCCATTAGTATAAAGCCAAAATTAACTGTGTTGGGAAGATGAGGCATAGTTCAACAGGAGAATATGAATAGTACTAACCCATGTGTCGCCATAATGAAATGCATAAGTAATGCAACAATTACATGTTGATGTCAAAAAGTATTGAAGGTCAAAACAATTCGATAAAAAGTGAAGAATTCTTTGAAAAAAGCGCATAAAATTTCTATTTTATTCAGCGTCTAACTTTGTAATTCAAAAATATGTATAAAAGCAATGTTTTATTTGAAAATTTTTGTATCCCAGACGATGGCAGTTCAAACTTTCAAGAAAAAGAATACTACAAGCAAGTGCAATAAAAAGGTCTGAAAATTCAATTCCATTGCATTCATCCCTATTTGTAGGTGAAAAAGTGTCTTACCTAAAATGCGCTTTTTCAGTCGCGGTGCCATAATGAAATGCACAAGAAACGCAACAACTGCTGCTACGCTAAATGTTATCACCAGAACAACCCATGTCGGCATCTTGTCAAAACCCAAAACTGCAAAAGCTACGTTGAATCCTAAATTTCATTTCAACACAACATCTATCACAGATGATTTGTTTCCCAAGAAATGTGCGGTTATGAAAGTTCTTTGGGATGAAAATTTTTTTTTCATTGAAACCTTGTTTGCGTCAGGAATCCTGAAATGTATTAAAAGAAGCATTTATGAGTTAGCAGTAAAGTTTAGAAGCAGTAAACAGCTTAAGTCTCGATAAACAATTCTGAAACTATTGATAATCAGTTCTCTTGAAAACCTACATTCAGAACCATTGTACATAACGGCAAAAAGGTTGACAGCTATGCAGATGAAATACAAAACAGGCAAAAGAATTAGGCCATAGTGCAAAGGACGTCGACGTCGCAATACAGCATGGTCGATGAATGAATAAAAAAGAATTGAAACGATGCCCGAAAGCAAAGGTGACAGGAACCATGATATAACTGAAATGGATAATTCAATAAATATTAAAAAGTCCACCAACAAACCTAAAACTAATAAACATAGTTTTTAAAGATTTCATCTTTTTTAATTTAGTTATATTCAAGTTACGATGGCAGTTTTGCAACCAAAATTAAAAATCGCCGTTCGGTTTACAATACTCTCTGGACAATCTTCATGCTTTATATTACATCTATATTTTCTGGATGGGTTGCAGTGTGATTTTGTTCAGTATTCATAACTTCGAAATGTGAAAATGGATTTCAAATTTTGAAATTCAGTTCCTTTTCGAACTGAGGACGTTACCAAACTGCGAGTGGATAATGAAGAAAAAAACCAATGACTGGAAATTACTTTGGCACAGATGTGGCGTAACTCACATATGCGGATGACTGGCCACCAGCGTATTCCTTGCGTACCACGGGCTAGCAAAGAATAACCAAGGGTTGCTCCAACAATACTATGAGTAGTTGACACTGGTAGCTTCAAAAATGTCGCTATAAGTAGCCATGCACCGCATCCTGTAAGCTTCCTCTAATGCCTTGATTTTATAAAATTTCAATTTCCAATAATGTTGCTTGGAAGTGCTAAATTCTAAATTTTGAAAAACATATCTAAAACAACGAGTTCATTGAAAGTTGAGTATTAAAAACAATGTGTCTTTAAAAGGACATCTCAAAGCACTAAATAATGTCTCCATAAAAATTTTACAGTAAGTTTAGTAAACTTGCCGAAAAACTCAACTGAAAAAATCCTTAAACTCAGAAGTTTATGTGTATATCTCTACCTGACAGTACGGAAATTTGGCCAAGCATAAGCTCATTTTCGCTACCATTGTAAACAGCCAGATCGATGACGCCTTTTCGCATTGTATCCGTGACCTGGTATCCCAAAAGAGTTGCTCCAAGGGTTTCAAAAATGGAAGCTAGTAAATAAGCTTGCTGGAGTGTAAGCACCTGAAATTTACCAAACTGATTGCCATCACTATTTCAACGTTGCTTATTTTTCTCTTTTTGTACGAACTTATCTGCCTTCCTATTTTCTGGAATTCAATTGACAGACCTTGCTTCCAACACTCGTTCCAAAAGAATTTGCTGTATCATTGGCACCAATAGCAAATGCAAGAATTGAAGCAATGAAGAATCCAATGCTGATCGTCCAGAACATCTCATCTTGGAATACTTCTAACTGTTCTTGCATTGCACACTTTCTTAGCAAACGAATGATGCGAATTCAATTAATTTATTTTCCAGCAAGAATTGGATAACTGATATTAATAGAAGAGGCGAATGAGCAACAACTACAAGGCACCGGCAGCAGTAATTAAAAAAAATTTGCTGGATGAACAGAAGACGCGTCTAAAAGACGCAATTTCCACGCAACATAGCGTACGTTCTTTATAGTCGAGCTTCTCCGACTGGTACCCCTGCAAACACAAAAATCAAGCGATACCTCAACGTTTACATCAACTTTGTGTAACGATAACAAATGCTTAATAATAATAATAATAATTAACTAATTATCAAAATGGATGAGTTGTGCATCTCAAAAATAAGAAACAGTACGAAGTACAGGATACAAACATCTCCGAATTGAGAAGTAATGCACAATATAACTAGCCTTCTGAAAGAGTGTGCTGACAAGAAATTATTTGCAAACAGATGAAAACAAAAATTTGAATAGGTACAAAGGTGTTCATTAAATAGTAGAAAAGATGTGAAGAATCTGTGTGAAGAAGTATCTCGGTATTTCAGTAGTAATGAAATAAGATTCCAACGGATTATCCTTTATTATTCAAAGTGATACTAAGCGAGAAAGAAGAAAGTGTGTGAGAATTGCACACGCTTAGAGAGGCAACATGATGAAAAAAATTTATGTAACAGTGAACAAGAGCTATGAACTTCAAAACGAAAATCGAGAGTTCTGACAGAGAGGCAGTTAAAAGACCACGCAATCACATGATGGAAGAGGTGAACAGCAGAGAGAGGCCGTGGGCTATAAATTAGAGTTTGAAGAGACTGAATAAGCGGTTTTAAACGTTTCTCATCTGCTTAGTATATAAATTAATAAGCTATATAAAATATGCCTTTCTGAAACAGCATAGCAAAATTGTCAATGCACGCTAGCTACACTATTCAACAGACGCTTGACAACAAGATAGCAGAGCAGACAAGGAAAGATTGGTAGTATCATATGATGTAATATTTGTTGAATGATGAAGTAATTATATCGAAAAGCAGATGGCAGGTGAGCCACATTAACAATAATATTGAGGATGGGTTTAGAAGAGATAAAAGAAAAACGAATAACAGCACCAATAAGACGACACTGATACTGGCTCGCTCAATTTCATTTATTTGATGGATCACCAGGCCAGTTTCCTTTTTTGGTTGCATAATTCACATTTGCAGCAATTCTAACAAGAGACGATCGATTCCGAAAACTAACCGCATTGCAACAAATAATTAATTAATTCTCTTCGTTTTACAAGAGATATCTTAACAACATAAGAATTGCTATTATTTCAATAAAAAATGAGATGTCGGTATAATCAAGTAAAAAAAAGGGGCTGAACTTAAAAAAAGTTTGAAAAGAAATTCTACATCAATCAACAAAATGAAAATTTCCATTCATACCATCACCTTTATGATCACTCCACCGTGAAGGCCAGATTTGAATCGATATGAAAACAAAAAAAAACAGTACCTTACGGAAAACACATACTCCTAATGTGTTTTTAAATACTTGGAAATTTTATAAATCTGCTCTCACGTCCTTAATGACGTGAGAGAGAACTACCGAATATCAAAACCCAATTTACATGGTAAAAAGGTGACCAAACAAAAAATAGTTATCACCAATTTGTCAATTTGCTTTCCCACAAACATACCAATGTTCACTGTCAATCTGACTCCTTATCAACGAGTCCACCATGGATAAATTCGATGATCTTCCATTCCCTACCATCCCATCAATACAGTCAACTATTTTAGTGAGATTCATTATTCCCTTATTAGTACTCAAAAATATCCGCGCGATACTTTTGAATCTCTCATTTGAAGTAAGAAAGGAAGGGAAAAAAGAACAGTATTAGGAACGGAAGTGTGCTTTTCGAAAACGTTTTATCATCGATTTCCTTCAAAAAACCTATGTATCAGTACGACATGCACGGCGAAAATGGGTAAAACCGAATTAATATGGTCACTAATTAGAACATTGGAAACTCCGTTTTCTGATTTCAAATTAGCAACAGCGACAACAATATTCAACATAATATTGCAGATGCGTGCCATCGAATGAATTAAAATGAAATGATACCTCATCTACTATAGTGCAGTGTGAACAAAGGTGGACGAACAGGAATAACAAGTAGAAAAGAAAACGGAAAGAGAAGTAAAGGAAGAATGGGGTACACAGGAGGAAGTCTGAGATTTGATCGGTTCGAGAATACGGAGAATCCTGAGACTCTTGATAAGAAATATTGAGAGACTGAAGAATGAGCAAGAAAAATTCAATTTCTTGACGGCACTAATCCGACAAAGGATTAGTGACGTTAAGCAATTGAACTTTTCTTGCTCATTCAAGCCAGCAAAGAAAACACCAGAAACCTGATTAAAAATGAATGATTATGGCACCAATTCAGGCATTCTGCTTCGGAATTCTTGTTCTGAACACTCCATATTTATAATTCTCGGAGGGATGTGCAAAAAAGATCAGCGACTTTATTAGATGGACAAATTATAAAATAAAAAACTATAAATGACCTAAATTCTGTGATGAAGTTAGAACATTGTAGAGAATACGCAACGAAACTCGTCCCACACGATAATTGCATTATACTCTAATAGGTGAAAACCTATAAAGAAGCAGTTTGCAAGACACCTCAATTTCACAATCATGAATACATGTCCACTGAAGTGCAGATCTGATAGAAAAGGCAAATTTTTGGCTAAGAGTACAGAGTGCGTCAACAATACTTAAAGTCCCAACATCTCATAAGATTAAATTTTAACAAAAAATGAATTTCAAAAATGTTATTTCAGTAATAACCACCGAAGAGCTTCAGGAGTTTAACATCTTGGACAAAACAAATGCCTTTCATTTGCCAGAGCAGTCTTGTGCTTCTCCAAAGAGTAAATTTTGGTTCAACTGGAAGAAATTCTGTGAGACACCTGAATATTTGGTCCCGAAATTATACTTTGAAACCGATATTTGACAAATACACTGCTAAGCGTAACTTAACATGTCGGATAAATTCAAAATATACGAATGAAAAAAACGTTTCTGTTATCGAGCTTATACCATTCCTTTGACAATACTTCGGTAGTGTGTAGCCACCACGCAGAACAGAACAGCTTATTTCTATCTATCTCGAAACAAGAAGGATAACATATAACAAAGGCAGACAAGTTACTACTAACAGTTAATACATTTATTTTAATACAATAGTACAAATTAATACATTAATATAAAAAATCAATACATTAATACAATACAAACTGTCAACACACTGTCTATCTCTCCCTTTTGCTGCTTTTCAGCAGCGGTCCAAAAATTGGCGAGGTCAATAAATAGATCAAGAGAACAAATGAAAGACAAGAAGTCTTTGTGAGTTATTGTGTATGAGTGACGATGCATACACAAAAACATCACATTATCACAGATAAGGGACAAGCACACGCTGACTAGAATGGATTTGGTGCTCACCGAATCGTCACTGTGAGCTTGCATGCGCTAATCCGCTCCATCACACCGCTTTTAAACATGAGCGAACTTATGACAATAAGCTGTTCCTTAAAATGAACTTCGCAACAAATTTGCACGTGACAGAACGACAGAGATATGGGAAAACACTATGGCAAATCCGGATACGCAGGATGCTTGATAAAAAACAACCCTCCCTTATCTTTTTGTTTTTTATAATATGTAAAGGCATATGTACTGCAGTCAGCTGAAATCACAAAGCGAGTGGAAAGTTGCAATTGAAAAGGAAGTTGTTAGAAACATAAAAATTCGCAATCTGTCGCGATAAAATTCGTTTTCCGAATAGAAACTATGAAATTATTTGACAATCGCTGGCATTATCATGATCCATCCGAATAGTGCAGTTAAGAGAGCAATCCATCAGTACCTCTGGACAATCCATTCATACTATTTGATTGATTAACAAAATACTTGAAAATGAACATTCCGAAAAGTATCCTCACGGAACTGCAAGATTTTGAATTCAATAACGAAAGAGGGTAAAAATATAAAAAGCGCTTTCGTCAGCAAAGCAAATTTGAAACATCCATAAATTGTGGATGAACAAAAGAATTGAGCAGCTGATGATCGACATGCTCAGGACGAGTCTCTACATTTATCTCGAAGAACTGGAAATGGGAATTCTACCAAATCTTATCAGTAATGACTCCTCGAAATCCTGATATCTAGAAAAGCCAACATTCCTCGTTGTCACTGCAGCCAAGGACTAAATGAGTAACTAATTTCTACAACTGCCTACTGGATCACAACAACTTTTGGGAATTTTCAGTAGAGAGAATTCCAGAACTAAAATATAGCCAAGTCCCAAATGAAAACGGATAGCAAAACATTACAATCACGAAGGAGTTAACACAACCGCCTGCTATGTTTAGGTAAGAAATGAAACAAATAACCGGGCAAGTACTGAAGATGCTCTTCAATGCAACAGATTGAAGAAATGGGTAAGAAAGCAGATGAGAGAGAGAAAGAGAGCAAGAGGAGAGACTGACTAATGCCAGCCTTTGCTCATAATTCGCTTATTGCTTCTATATTCTAGCCCTTTCTTCCTCTCCCCCCC